GTGCATTTGAATCCATTGTTGTGAGAGTATTCCCACTCAGCTTATTCGCAATCCAGCATGGAACGGCCAGACGATGCAGGTCTCGTCCGGGTAGAAGATGTTGAACTTGTAACCCTGAACTATTTTTGGAGGCAGGTTGTCGATCGGGGTCAGTACTTGAGCTTCCTGGGCCGGTACTTGTCGTGCCACCAATACACCTGAGAGTCCAGGTTCACTTCTTCACCAGATCGAAACACTACGTACATCGCCTTCCTCCATCGTTCCCCTGGCTCTGAACGCTTTCATCTCGAATTTGTAACTTGTATTATTACGAAATGATAAAAGGGTTTGTATAGATTACAAGACTTTAACAATAAGTAGGAGAACTACAATAATGTTATTACCAGAAAGATACAGAAATCTTATAAAAGAACAAGAAAATATAAAATTATTCCTAACCTCTATCTTTTACGTGTCCGCTTTCTCCTGAGCTTGCTTGCTGCGGCTGCTGCAGAGTGGTGGATTTGGAATAGTCGCACTCGATTATATTTATATATATCCAGCACAAGATACTGCTTTGGATCCTAGTGGGCAAACACAGAATCTACACAAGATACACTCAAAGATACACATCCATAATTCATTCATTCGTTCATATATCCGCACTGTATCGGTCGTGCAGACTTTCCCCCTTTTCTGATAGAATTTTATGCCGCAAGAATTGACACATATTTTGCCATCTTCAGTACATATCCATTTGATTGGTCAAAGAGGGATGGCAACCGGTTGGATTGGGAGCAGACAGTGCATATCTGTTATCCTACTCAATATAATTCGAGTTTTATCCATACTCATATCTAGAATAGTCAAAATCCCGATTTAAATCCTAAAATCATAAGCTTTTACGATTTTGCTTGCCCATTCCAATTCTAATTTCACTATAAAATCTATGGACCTTAAAATTCTACACTATTCACGATTTAAATCCTTAAAATCTTACGATTTTACAGTTCAAATCTTTGAGTCAATTTTACTTATTTTCCCCAGAATTTGCAAAATCACGCCTCGTTTTCTTCTCCTCCACCAACATCATCTAGTTCTCTCACACTAACCACCATTGACTAATAATCAATTCACATCAACGTATTAATCATCATCGATTCACCACCTCTTAACATTAATCTTGATAAATTGGAACATTAACTTTGAAAAATTATCATTGTAAGTGTTATGTGCTTTTGTGTTATTCATGATTTTCCTTACTAATATTATTCCGTCTTCATTTTTATATGGACCTTACAATCCTACGATTTTACGATTCTGATTTTATCCCCATTTTCGATTTTACGTAAAATCCCGATTTTGACTGCTTTGCCCATACCCACACGAGAAACAGGTAGAAAATCAAAACCATGCCCATATCCGTTCGGGTTTCGGGTATCCACGGTTATCCATGGATAATAATTTAGTCCAACCAATATGTTAACATTCACACGTATAATCACATCACGTAAGAGGAAAAGTACGACAATAATTCACTAGAATGAAGAAAATCAATTAAAACAACACAATTTCATGAAAATATTATATTTATATGATAAATATAAAATATGCTAGAGAAAAATAATGATTATTTCTAGACAAAATACATATGCATGTGCATAATCGGGCGGGTTCGGGTTGGATAGTGAGAAAATCATGTCCACTCATTACCCGCAATATTAAAACCCACTTAAAGTACTCCTTCGGGTTCGAGGTTTACCCTACCCAATCAGGTCAGATTCGGGCGGATATCAACGATTACGAATATTCTTGTCATCCCTAAGCAGTACTGGTCGGGCCACCCAATGCTTGCCTTGTTACAAGAAACTAAGAAAGTAGTTTCGGTCGTCTTCGATCACAGGGTGAACTTTGGTAGAGAGCTTATAGCATAAATGTAAAGACTGTTCGTCTCGCCTTAAATTTAAAGTTGATCGATACATTGGACAGTGTTAGAGGTTGATTTAGTGGAAATATGAGAATGATAATAATATCCACTACACGTTGATTTGGATTCATGGGACAAATGTCGACTAGAAGAGACTAACCAAAGTTACAACTAAGTACAGCCCAACTCAACCCACATCCTTTTTAAATATACACATGCCCCTTTGTTTTGTTGGCATCCTATTCCTACGTACACATCATCCTAATAATTAAAGTTATAACAAAGATAATGTAGCATGAGAGTTTTACTTAAATGACATGCTGTCATTTTCTTCCCTCACCCACAGCTCAATTCTCAATGTTACAATGGAAGTGAGAAAATGCAATTGGTTTAGGCTTGACATGTTACTCCAATCCGAGTATCGATTTATATTTAGAAAAATAAAAAATTGTAAAATCATACCGAAAGTCATGAAGGGAAAAGTTAGCATTAGGGTATTTTGTACTAAAATCGTAGTTCAACCATGGTTAAATCAGACTTGACACGTTGTTTCAATCTGAGCCTCGATTTATGTTCAGAAAAACCAAACATGTAACTCCAACCCGAGTCTCGATTTATGTTCAGAAAAATAAATAAAAAATTGTAACATCATACCGTAAACGAGCCTCGATGTATCTTCAGAAAAAACTCAAGAATTGTAAAACTATATTGAATGTCGTAGCAGTAAAGTTAGCATTATGATATTTTATACTAAAATTGTAATTCAATCATGATTAAATCAGGCTTGATAAGTTCCTTCAACCCGAGCCTTATGTTAAAAAAAAAAAAATTATAAAACCATACCGAAGGTCATGTCGTAAAAGTTCGCATTAGGGCTTTTAAGCTAAAATCATAGTTCAACGCGATTAAATAGTTTATATAGCTAAAATCACCTACTGATTTAGATTTTGTTAGGATTTTTTCTAATGAACCGCTGCTAAACACGATCATAAATCAAATATGGGTTTGTAAACAATACATCTAATCCTATGAGAAGCCGCAACGAAGTGCGGCACAAAATCTACCTAGTATATATGAAACTGACAAAGTCTCGGCTACTTGCCATCTCTAGTGTTAGTGTACCCTTCAAGATTCCATTTGCCTTGACCTCTAACCCCACCACCCCTCTCAATTTATCCACATCTTTCTTATCTTATCATTTAACATGTTCTTATCGATGTTGTTAACTATTATTCAAGAGACTGAAAGAGTTGGGTGAAATCAGAACGTATTTTAAAAGCTTTAGGGTGGTGGGTCTGGTCACTGGTGCTGGTCCTGGGCCAAATTTTGTGGCTCAGTTTGGGGAGAAGGAAAAGACGAAAATAAATAACAAAGCCATTTTATTTTTATCGAAACAAAGCCAAATTTCTTTTTGATTCGTAACAGTAATTTATTCCAGTATCCCTTTGGTTTTATTTCGCTTTCATTTCATCCCTCCACGGCCAAGCAAGTCTGCCTAGGCTTCTTATCTCCTCTCCCTCTTTTGGTTCACGCCACAAGCTTATCATCTCAGAACCTACTCACGTCTCCTGTTCCTTCCTATTATCAGAGACCAACGTTCAAGTCATCTCATACCAACTTAGAGGATAATCCGATCCACCATCGACAACGATGACTAATCCTGTTATTGCCGATAATCCCACAAACAGATAAACGACTGCCAACAAAATGTGTTTCACTGTCACAAATAATAATCGAACTTTGAAACAAGAGAAGGCAGAGAGACTTATGCATTGCACTCAAATTAGGAGAAGAGTGCTATTCCAAGCATTCTCCATTCTCATACTCACTCCAGCATGACAAGTCGAAAGCCTCAACCACAGACAGTCATCACCAGATAAATTGAAACAAGCCAAACCAACAAATAAAAGAGGAGAGGGAAGCAAAAATTATGAATGAATGCTAATGTCTTTTGCTAAGTAGGTCTTGGTCTGACTCAATAGCATCCCATTAAGGATCTGGTTGTTTCTTTCTAGGTGTGGTTTTAGTACAGGTATGAAGAATATGATGATGAGGAAAATGGGGAAAAGAGAAGGGTCTGGATCGGAATCTTTTCAATTTCCATCTTTCTTTTGTGCAAATAAGAGAGGTGGTGTGGGGAAAAAGGGAGAAGATAGATAGGGAGAGACATGTACAATGACAGCAGAGATTTCGAATTCACAGACCGATCTCTTTCCTAAGATGAAAGATCCATCCCAGCTGTAACTCATGGCTGGATTACAATCTGAGCCACCATATATAAAATATCAGTATCAAATCATTCCCCTCTTTGCTCCTTCCTAAGGGGCGACTCATTAGCTACAAAGGACCCTACCAGACATTTCAATATCACCATTCACCAGACACCAATTAATTCTCCCTCCAGCTGGGAGTATCCCTAAAAGTGAAATTCAATTATTTCCTTGGAATCTCAGAAGCAAAATGATCAATGATGAACATCATCAACAAACATCACAGCATCATCATTGTGTTGATATGTCGAAAGATTACGACCCCTCTTTCTACTTCCACAAATTCAATACATGAGAAGCTCACTGATCGTTTGTCTTATTATGCCTAACATTGTAATACTACTGCCATATCAGTAGGTCAATTCTTGCATGCAAATCTACAACACAACTCTTATCTTTCAAAGGATTAGGATAAAGGTTGAAACTGTTCCTAAACATAATGTTCAACATCAGCCATCCTAGCTAGTCAACACTCTCCTAAAACTTGTCTCTTCTTTTTCTTCCTTTTTCCCCTAAAAAACTTATGTATGGTCTGTCATCCATTAGCAAACTCTTATCTCAAGCCTTCTTTTACTTTTACATTCCATGTCGTTTATCACAAAGAACAAAAGTGAAGAAAGAAGAGAAGAAGTGAAGAGTATGTTTACCTAATAAGATGAATTGACTGAAAGCAACCTTATCAGCTTGATGACATTTTCCGGTTCTGATTCCTCTGCAGAAGGGCTCCCTCTATATCTGCTTCTTCATCAAGGTCTGCTGATCAGCTATACAAAGGGCATGATTATAGCTTACTGGTAAACTAGAGCAGGAATCAAGAATAGTCAAGTGAGAATCCATCGACCTTTTCATTTCATTCAACGATAATTGATACATCTAAAGTGAACAATATCAGTGAATGGAGTAAAATATTTGCCTACTTATAGCCTTGAAATTACAATCAATGAGATGGGGAAAGAGGCTGGGAGTACAAGAAAACAAGAGGAACCCCCTCATGTGCTCAAAATGTTAATTTTCTCGACCTAAGAATTGCTGGACAAGGGGTACTTTCAGTATAGATTTGGTTCTGGTTAAAAGAGAGAAGCTTTTTCACGCCTTGTGTTCATAAGAGTTCTCAAGGACTCGGACTCCAGGTCCATATATCAAACGGCAGCGGTCACTGAACGAACCAACTAAACGGGATACCACCTCCTTGAAAAACATGGATGCAACCTGTCCAAACAAAGGCATTAACAGAAATTAAGGTTCCGAATATCAAAAGTTACTCACTCCCAGTTCCTTCATAGAAGATTTGTGCAAATTCATCAGCCAATATATTACTTATCAAAGGTGGAAATCTAAAATACCAACATGCAACTTAACATTAAAGGAATGATAGCTCCTGGTAGACAGACTAAATCCGTAAATTTTCTGTAATCGCGCGCCTACTGAATGAATTATCAAGAAGGATTGTGTATGCGTGTTATGCCCATCTTCCTATGCTGTCACCAAGTTACAGAGACAAGAATGTAAGATGTTGTAGTCTTGTAGATATCCCTGAACCAGAAGAACATTTAGGTCATCTTCCACATCAGTATGAGTAGTGACATCCGAATGCAATTTCCAATATTCTCCTACTTATCATTCTAACAAATCACATTTGCAGAGAAATGCGGTGCCACAAAGTACAAACTGGTGGAGCTTGCGCAGTAGCATAGAGAGAGAGATAGCAATTACTGTAGAAAAAAGAAGAGCCACCTTTTCTTTCACTTATAAAAGAATGAGAGGTTCACATTCTATCAATTGTATTAGAGATGTTGATAGATTACAAGGAGGCCAGTTGAGGGGCCAGGCGGTAAATTGTGCACATATTTGAATTGACTACTAAATAAGAATTCTCAACACAATCAAATTGGGAAAATACATTGAATCTCAGATACTTCATACCAACTCCATAATTAACATAGCAGGACAATCTGAACACCGCAAGAGTGGTGAAGCAAAATTAAAGTCACATATTGCTGGATCATAGCAAGGACACTCATTTTGGCAAGACAATCATTTATCTCCACATTACCAAAGTATCAGGAATGCAGTCCCAAGTATATTTCAAAACACGAAATTGAAGTACAAACTCACAATGACATATCCGATCCCAACACACTGTCATAGATGCAGACATTAAAGCAAAGAATCAAGCACCTATATAGTATCCAATTGGACTAGCCTGGAAACTAAATGAACTTGGAGGAATTCCAACAAAAAAAAATGCTCAGGTAATCATTCACATAAGTGAGACATTGGAAATCAAGATACATAGACCAATCAGATTGACCAGCAGCATCTTTCACCTCAACCCACAAACATGTTTAGCATGGAGAAATGCTGCCATACACTAGGGCAGAGAGTAGCACAGAATACAGGACCATAGATTAATTCCCAAAGCACTAGCATGTTCTGAATGTTACACATTATGTCCCTAGTTTGCTGCAGCCCAGTATAATTCACCTTTATAAATTAGATCCACAGAGAAAGTAGGCATTCACACAATCTACAGCAAATAGCTTTTAAGGGAGGGAGGCGGACCTATTAATCTCCTCTGGATGTCATCTGAACATAATCCTCAAGCATCGCATTTTATAAAACCAACTTTCTGCTAGTGTTCAATGTTTCACCTAAACTAGTTCATGCTGACAGTTGGTATCCTACCTTCGGATAAACTAGTTCATTGATTGTTCTAGAATAACTTATGTAGTTTTATGGAATGTACGTGATTGTATTGACATCTTGGAAGTGCTTTATGAAGTGACTTAATACGCAAGGATGAAGATTCGCCAAAATTTAAAAGAGAAAAAGTTCATTACGCAGAAAGCATACTGTCTTACCTGTCTGTAGAGTGGTGACTGAAACTTAAAATCTACCAAAAAGTGAAGATCACAGCTGCCCGGAACAGGTCCGGGATTAAATTCCCATATGTTTATCAAGTGATCAAAAAGGCCGCTCTGGGATGCAGTAGTCTGCAAGTAAGAACCCAATGTGAACATGTTACAGCTGTACACGCAGAATGAACTTGGAAACTAATAGTTAAGCTTAGCAACTAAACCCTACTATTCCACACTATAAGCTGGAAACTATAAAATCAGTAGGACTATAATAAATGACAAGTGCAATGTGCTAGAATCTCTAACATGAGAAAGAAACGGCTTCCCGACTTCAAACTTTGAGGACACACCAAAGTAAAGATCATTTCATTTCCTTGCATTTCTTCACACACACATGTCAAGATGTTAATCTAACTCACGCTGAGAACCTGGCCTTCAGAATTTCACTTGAGATTATCAAAGTTCAAATGTTCTGGTTCTGAAGGATGAACTAAATTCAGAATAAAAATTCCCTTCTGAGGGTCACCCATGCCCATCTACAGTTCATGACCTAAGCAAACTTCGACACATTTCGGAGTTTTCCTTATCCCATAATGAAACTGAAGCGATCAAACCTCGTAAGAAAAGCCAGAAAATGGATACCTTGACCATCTTGGGTCTCTCCAATTCAACGTGCGAAACGTAGCTCTCAACCAGAAACTTGAACCCAATCTCCAGCTCGGCATCAAATGATCCATCCGGGTAACGTTTGAGAACATCAGACCGCTGGCACCAGGGCACGAACCCATGATACAAGTCCACCGCGGCGACCACGTCAAACAATTGCTCCGGGGAATACCTGCAACAGGCGAAAGAAAAGCTCCCATCAACACCAATGACAAGCTGAAGGAACAGAAATCAGCATAAGAAACTGCTAAAAAAATCACCCTAATACGCGTCTCTCTTCGTAAACCTTGGACAAAACACCGCCTTCTTCCCCATCTCCGCATCCGAGGAATCGCCTCCGTTGAACCACAGAGCTTCCGCTGTACGAACTCCCCAATAACGCCGAGCTGAAATCCCCCCGGAAATCAATCACACTCGACGGCGCCGAGACTCCAGCAATGCTTCTGGAGCACCGAATTTGATTGTGCTTAGCTGGGGCGACAACGAAATGCTTCGAGCGGCCCGAACGGGCTAACAGAGACCTTACCGCCTTGGACGTGGAGTTGAACGGCGGCATTCTAAATGAAGAGCGCCGGAGAATCAACGAGGGATACGAAACCGATTGAATTGGGAATTCAAAGAGATATCAGGAAAAGAAAAAATCGAAGGGATTGAGATTTGAGAAATGAGAATCGAGGCGCGAAGATATTGGAACCCTATATGAGTTGCGAATCGAGGGGGAGGAGATTGAAAGGAAGAGGCGCGAGTGCGGATCTGGTGACTAAGGGGGGTGCTTAGTCACTTGACTAAGCCCCTCCTAGCCATTAGATCTGGACACTTCAATCCAATGGTTAAAAAGTGGGAAGGGCTATTTAATTAATAGCAGGGGTAGTTTGGGTATTATGAAAAATTACAAAGTATACAAACCGGATTTACAATCAGTACAAACCATACAAACATACGAACAGTACAAACTAGAGCAACAAAACATACAAACATTACAAACGTATGAACTGTACAAACAATACAAACTAGACTGACAAAAAATACAAACCATACAAACATACGAACAGTACAAACTAGAGCGACAAAACATACAAACATTACAAACGTATGAACTGTACAAACAATACAAACTAGAACTACAAACAATACAAACCATACAAAAAGAAAAAACAACCGGGTTGACTTTTGAGGCTCCATCCCTATATAGAGGGGCTCCTTCCCAAAGTCAACCCGGGTGTTTTTTAGACATACAAACAGTACGAACATGGTGGACAAAAATGACAAACTAGACCGACAATCCATACGAACGGGAAAAAACACCCGGGTTGACTTTGGAGGCTCCATCCCTATATAGAGGGGCTCCTTCCCAAAGTCAACCCGGGTGTTTTTTAGACATAAAAAACATTACGAACATGGTACACAAAAATGACAAAGTTTACAAACATGGTGCACAAAAATAACAAAGTTTACAAACATTACAAAAAACCCGACAAACATTACAAAATAACAAAGCATACAAACATTACAAAATATGTCAACAAACATCACAAAATCAGCACTGTCGCCGGAAAATTCTTCTCCGGCGACGATGTTCGCCGGAAAAATTTTCCGATCAGAAAATTCTCTCTCTCTCTCTCTCTCTCTCTCTCTCTCTCTCTCTCTCTCTCTCTCTCTCTCTCTCTCTCTCTCTCTCTCTCTCTCTCTCTCTCTCTCTCTCTCTCTCTCTCTCTCTCTCTCTCTCTCTCTCTCTCTCTCTCTCTCTCTCTCTCTCTCTCTCTCTCTCTCTCTCTCTCTCTCTCTCTGTTTCTGGGACGAACCCAAAAATAAATGGCAATGGTGCCATGGTCTGGGTCGCAGCAAAATAGTCTCTCTCTCTGGGACGAAATAGACATGGCAATTGCAGGATCTCTCTGGGACACAACAAAATGTAAATGGTAATGGCAGGAACGCACCGGAAAAGCCTGACGCCGGGAAATTTTGATCGGCGAGGATACGGGCTGGACGGCCTGCCGGTCAAATTTCTCGGCGGGTTGCTGTTGTTGGGTTTTTAATTATTAAATTCTAAAAATAAAATAATTCATGTAATTACTACACTACCCTTCATTAAAATGAATTAATTAGAGCCATTGGATTTTAATGAACTTGAAAGGCTAGGATTAACTTAGTCAAGTGACTAAGGGGACCCCCCTTAGTCACCTGATCTTATCCCAAGAGGGGCGCCGTGATAATTTTGCACGGCGAGGCGCGAATTCAAGGTTGCAGTTAGGCGAGGTGTGCGGCTGGCTGGGCTGGGAGGCGGAGCTTTTTTCTTCCCTCTTTCCTTCCAGATTCTGGAATTACAAAATTGATAACAATGCTTTTTGGTCCTTCAACTATTATTCGTGTCATATTTAAGCTTCCTAATTTCATATTTTCTGATTTTCAAGATATGCGATTTGTTTAAAGTGTTACAATAATCAATTGAATTGATGGGTTCTAACTTTGAATAAAAAATAAAGTCAAATAAGTTTGGATGTTACTTATGAATCACGTATCAGGATTTGTATAAGGTTTTGTTACATACATTCCCCTCCATTGGCGGACCCAGAAATTTTTTATAGGAGTATCTACTTTTAAAAAATAAATTAAATAAAAATAAATTAAAAATAGTTAATAAAAATAAAATCGTAAATATGAAAATAACTTACTCGTACAGGTTAAAAAAAGTTCATAGTGTGTTTTCATATTCGGAAATAATTGTATAATACACTTGGTGTATATAGTGTTAAAAAAAATTGTCTCTATATACCCTACTAGACAATCATTCACGAACTTATCGCATATTCGATTTGTAAACTTGTTCTTGAGGTAACCCAAAGCTGAAAGACTCTTTCAACACTTGCCGTACAATCATAAAATCAATACAAATTAAGGGTAGCTTGAAATTAGTTTGATTGTTAGGTTTTAAAATAATTAGATATCTTGAATGACATTTTACTATTACACATTGTTCAAAATCGAACAACAAATGGGTTGTAGCTCAACAAAAATTAAGTTTATTAATAATAATAATAGTGTTCTAGATTTAAACTACCCAACCTACCACTTATATTCCTATACACAAATGACAGTAGGATAATTATTTTTTCAAATTTCAGGGGTGTCCCTCACTATCAATTATATTTTTTTGTCCATACGTAAATTACCACCGGAGGTTGGATAATCATTTTTCCAGAATTTAGAGGTGTCCCGAGACATCTCTAAAACCCTCTGGATCCGCCCTTGCTCCCCTCCCCCTTTGGGGCACAATGCCTTCATTGAAGTTTGTCTCACCATCGCCCAAGAGGGTAGCGGAGGGGCTCTAATACCACTTGCAACATCTCGATGTTTCCTAATGTTGTTCTCTTTGAGCCTACCTCGTATGGTAGTTGTTTTAGGCGTATCGTGATGATTTCGCTGAAAGTCTCTCATTTTTACATTGTTTCGCCCCGAGCATGTTTAACTTCAAAGGTTTTATAAGAACTCCTATGTTTCATCCAAAATGCATTTCATTAATGAAATTGAATATTTCTTATTAATCATAGATCTGTTCCATACTTTTTCAATATGAGGTTTGTCTAAAGTGTTACAAATAAACAAATTCATTACAGCATTACTGATGATGGGTCCTAACTTCCAGTACAGAAACAAAAATCACGATTTTGGGGCTCAAATAGATAAACTGCGAAAATTCAGGAGGCCGGAAACGAAAATAGACGCTACGTGTTTTGCCTTCTTTTTTCCTCCGGGCAAATGGCGCACGTGGTTGGGCTGGATGTTATATATCAGTGGCTGATTGGCTGTTCCGTTTTGTTTGGTTTCAAGGACCAAAAACTTTGACTTTGACTTGGACACCGGAACATTTGGTCTTGAAACTTTTTCTAATGCATTTTCTGGTTCAGATAATTTTTTCCTGGTTCAAGGACCAAAAAACTTTGACTTTGACTTGGACACCGGAACATTTGGTCTTGAAACTTTTTCTAATGCATTTTCTGGTTCAGATAATTTTTTCCTGGTTCAAACCATTACTCCAGAGTGGTCGGTTTGGAAGTTAAGATTTCAGATGATATATTTAGTCAATACATGTAATCAATTTTTTTCAATGAAACAAAATGTTTGTATTTGAACAGCATATGAGACCACTAGAATCATTCATTATGACAATTGTCAGTAATTATTGTGTTTGAGAGATTGTTAGCTTATTTTTTTCTTCCTTATTCTTTGAGAGACGACCAAAATCATTCAATCTACAAATAGTATATTTTTCAAATTCATACATTATAACAATACATCTAATTACAATTGATTAAATACATCAATTTAAAGGATACTAACTTTCAAACATGCCCACAATTCAACTACCATATCATGAGGTCACGTGGAATTCCAAACAAGTTTAACAAATTACATCTCGAAATGTATACTATGTAAGATTAAGGAACATACCTACTATAAATTAGTCGAGCTGGCTCTCCATACTACAACATCCTCTTCCAAACAGGAGGAGACAATCGAGGTTGGAGAGACTTCCAGAAGGTTTTTTTTGTTGTAGTCTATACCTCTTTATTCATCTAACTAGAATAAATTACCCACAAACAAAATATCTCATATATGTCGAATAATATGTCTGGTTTCCACAACCTGAAATTCGGGATGAAATAACATGTCTACCCCTAATAAGATTGGAAAGAAATTCGGGATGAGATAGCATGTCTACCTCTAATAAGATTGGAAAAGTGACACACCCTATTAATTATAGATTTTTAAGGTAATCAATTTGTGTTGCATACTTGCATTTAATAATCTGTATGAATTAAAAACACATATTAATTACTTTCCCTTTTTCAATGCACTAGTAGTTGTATCAGTGCAATGATATTAGTGTACAGATGCAATGATAGATGTATCAGTGCAATGGTAGTTCCAAAAAAGGAACGTAATTAATATGAGTTCAGTATACAAGTGGAATGGTAGTTAAAAAAAGGAATGTAATTAAGATGAGTTTTTAATTTACAAACACTTTGAACATCAACTCTCCGCATATAGGCATTACAAATCCTATAAATACCCTTTAGCATATTTTGAGGAAGAAGAAATATAGGGATGGCAAAAATATCTGTAACCGTGGATATCCGCCCGAATCCGGCCTAATCAGGTAGGGTAAAATCCGAACCCGAAGGACATTTAGTGGGTACGGGTAAAATCCGAATCCGAATATTGCGGGTAATGGGTGGGCATGAGTTTCTCACTATCCAACCCGAATCCGCCCGATTATACACATGCATATGTAATTTGTCTAGAAATAATCATTATTTTTCTCTAATATATTTTATATTTAGCATATAAATATAATATTTTCATGAAATTGTGTAGTTTTAATTAATTTTCTTCGTTCTAGTGAATTATTGTCGTACTTTTCATCTTACGTAATGTGAGAATACGTGTGAATGTTAACATATTGGTTGGAGTTATGAAGAGAAATTATTACCCATGGATAACCGTGGATACCCGAAACCCGAACGGGTATGAGCATGATTTTGATTTTTTACCTGTATCACACGTGGGTAACTGGGTATGGGTATGGGTAAAACCCGAACTACTATGGGTAGGGTAACGGATATGCGCTATTCGCGCCCGACCCGACCTATAGTCATCCCTAAAGAAATATGCTTATCAAAAGTGTAGAATACTAGTTGACTTGAAGTTCACCCGCACGAATTAGAAGTTCGGCTCTTCAACCATAAATCTTGTTTGCAATTTTATCTACCGGCACTTGACACTCTTTTCTTGACAATTTCTTAATAATAAAACCGCACTTCAAATACCTTACGAGAAATTCACCTAATGAGAAATTTGTACAAGTAGATACAATGGGGTCGTTTGGATTAGGGAATGTGGAAATGAGGGATTTGAGTTAAAATCTCTCAATTAAAAACCCAGATATTTTAAACGTGGGATTTGACCAAAATAACTTGTTTGGAAATGAATGAAGGATTTTAATAAGAAAATTACAATTACAATTACAATTACAATTACAATTACAATTATATCCATCCCTAACCCACCTCCTTACATCTGCATCTGTTTCTTCTTCTTCTTCCCTTTCCTCTGCATCCTATTTCCACTTTCCTGAACCAAAAAATAGCAACGATCAACAAAATTTGGGTTCCTCTGTCATCTTCTTGAACCAAAAAATAGCAACGATCAACAAGATTTGGGTTCCTCCGTCATCTTCTTTCAACATACATGAAGGTTATAATTCCCAACAGCAACTAGAAATCCTAGAAATTGATTTGTGAACTGATTCAAAATTGGACACTATATCTGCCAAAATCAAGGAACCAGAAGGAAGAACCCAAATTTCCTCTTTCTCGAGGCTAACAAATCCGGCAAAAAACAATCGACTTGATTCACAGGGATGCAAGAAAAGCAGAGTGGGGGTGACCCCAGTGAGTCGAATGACAATGGTGAGTGGTGAGTGGCGATGACGGATCAAATCGATTGAAAGAGAGATCGTCGCTGGTCAACAGGTCTGGAAGGGAAGATTCCGGTGCTGGGTATGGGGGAGGAAGAAAGGCAGAATGGAGAAGAAGGAAGGACAGGTTTGGAAGAAAGGTAAAAAAAATGAGAGATTTCAAAATAGCCGACCTCTATTAGCTATTTTAAAATTCCATACTTGTAGGTTTTTGAAATTCCTAATGCCAACAATTTCTCATATTCTCAAACGCAAGAATGTTTTAAAATCCTGCACAATGAGATTGTTTTAAAATCTCTCACAAATTCCGCATTACAATCCTTCATCCAAACGACCCCAATAAGTTATTCACGATTGAGATATCTCCACAAAACAACTTGCTCTTGGAAGGGTTGCATTGAAGCCCAGACGGCTTGTAAAAAAGTCATCAACTAGTCTTCAAGTTCCTGTTACCAAAATGCTCTTTTCTAGTGGCTTTCAACACCAAACACCAGAATACTTGGTGAGGTCGTTTGGATTAAGAATTTAGTTAATGAAAAATTTTGTCAACAATCACTCAATTAAATACCAGGTATTTTAAACCCAGAATTTAGGTTAAATATATTGTTTGTTTAGGAATGGAAGGTTTAGTAGTTAGGGAATTTAATTTTGAAGCAATTGCCTAAATTATAATTATATCCTTTGAAGCCAACATTCGATTCTTCCCTGCCAATTAACGTCGACTTCACCGGAATCTTCCCCCACCTTGCGTCCTTCGAACTCCCCTCGTCTAGACGAGGTGACTCCACCAACAGAGACTCTGTTTTCGATCGCAGACTCACTATTTCCCATAATTGCTGGTTGCAAACGAAACCAA